AGAGAGAGAGAGAGAGAGAGAGAGAGAGAGAGAGAGAGAGAGAGAGAGAGAGAGAGAGAGAGAGAGAGCTGCAGCAGCATATCATCTCCCTAAAAGTGGCAATAACGTATATAACATTTTATGACCTTCGAGGAATGGCTGGCGCAGGCAAAACTGACCCTTACTCTTGGCCCAAAAATAGGTTCTTTATTACTTAAGGCCAACAAGAACACAGCGTCCGAAAATTCCACAGGTTTCTCTTGAGATAGTCCAGGAATGCCACATGTCTTTTTCTCTGATCCCCAGATTATTAATTCCAGTTACACCCACTATCTATTTCCAGGAACACCCACTGTCTATTTCCATGAACACCCACTTTTTTTCTAGGAACACCAACTGTCTTTTTCTAGGAACACCCACTGTCTTTTTCAAACAACACCCACTGTCTATTTCCAGGAACACCCACTGTCTTTTTCAAACAACACCCACTGTCTATTTCCAGGAACACTCACTGTCTTTTTCTAGGAACACCAACTGTCTTTTTCTAGGAACACTCACTGTCTTTTTCAAACAACACCCACTGTCTATTTACAGGAACACCAGCTGTCTATTTCCAGGAACACTCTTCGAATTTTCCTCGGAACAAAACGTCTATATCATCGCCACGTCGCTATTAAACTGACCAGCTAATAATATTGGGAATTCTTCTCAAAACATCAGTCTCTGGACTGTTAACAACATAAAAACATTTCCCTTGAACGAACTTAATTTTCAGTACTAAAACAAATTAATTATAAAACCTCTTTCCACTTCTTGGTAAAATGCATCTGGAGAAGACGCCCGATGCGTGAGTGGGAGGCAGACGCCTTTATTTTAATGTAAACAAAGTCTCGCTTAGAGCACACTTGAAGTTCCACAATTATTTCCCTCTAGACGCTGCGTTATAGGAGTTACAAATCTCCCATCATCAGCACAATCTTCAGCAGCAGAACAATAAAGAAAGTATTCTGAACCCTATATCCCGTTAAATCTAGTCATTCATGGCCAGTAATGTAGGTAGATTAGGGTTTACCGGTTAGGACACGTAGCATTTTCAGTAATCATTTTCGCTGATATAACTGTCATATATTGGTTACGATTATTATTGTGGGTGTCTTTTGACAGGTGAATTCGAAGGGAAAGAAGAATTAGCAATAACTACCTGATACAACACGTGACGTGTGATTACTCTAGCATCACCTGCAATGAGTATTAGTCTGTGATCATCCGTGTTTATATCTGGTTGTCCAGGCCTGAAACAACCATACAGATAGGCTCCATTTGTTTAATTTCATTTACTAATCAATGTAGTCTAAACATTTATAGTAAATGTCTACCAATCGATAATTTCGATTGATAGACTATATAATTAATAAACCTCCCAGCTTGTGTAGGAAACGATATGTGGGAATTAATTATCATACAGTCCACTTTAAATTCATACAGTCCGCTATCAAAATAAATAAATTAACTTAAGAAATAATTCAAATATATCTCATGAGTCAGTTTTCCCCAAACACCCACAGTCTATTTCCAGGAGCACCCACAGTCTATTTCCAGGAGCACCCACAGTCTATTTCCAGGAGACCAGCTGCCGGTCGTCGAGAGGCCAGAGACCAACTGCGGGTGGTCGAGGGGCCAGAGACCAGCTGTGGGTGGTCGAGGGGCCAGAGACCAGCTGTGGGTGGTCGAGGGGCCAGAGACCAGCTGTGGGTGGTCGAGGGGCCAGGGACCAGCTGCGGGTGGTCGAGGGGGCCAGGGACCAGCTGCGGGTCGTCGAGGGGCCAGGGACCAGCTGTGGGTCGTCGAGGGACCACGGACCAGCTGCGGGTCGTCGAGGGGCCAGGGACCAGCTGCGGGTCGTCGAGGGACCAGGGACCAGCTGCGGGTCGTCGAGGGCCAGGGACCAGCTGCGGGTCGTCGAGGGACCAGGGACCAGCTGCTGGTCGTCGAGGGGGCCAGAGACCAGCTGCGGGTCGTCGAGGGGCCAGGGACCAGCAGCGGGTCGTCGAGGGGCCAGGGACCAGCAGAGGGTCGTCGAGGGGCCAGGGACCAGCTGCGGGTCGTCGAGGGGCCAGGGACCAGCAGCGGGTCGTCGAGGGGCCAGGGACCCGCAGCGGGTCGTCGAGAGGCCAGGGATTAACTGTGGGAGGGGGGGTCAAGGGGCCAGGGACTCGCTGCAGGTCGTCGAGAGGCCAGGGACCAACTGTGGGGGGTCGAGGGGCCAGGGACCAGCTGCGGGTCGTCGAGAGGCCAAGGACCAACTGTGGGGGGTCGAGGGGCCAGGGACCAGCTGCGGGTGGTCGAGGGGCCAGGGACCAGCTGCGGGTGGTCGAGGGGCCAGGGACCAGCTGCGGGTCGTCGAGAGGCCAAGGACCAACTGTGGGGGGTCGAGGGGCCAGGGACCAGCTGCGGGTGGTCGAGGGGCCAGGGACCAGCTGCGGGTGGTCGAGGGGCCAGGGACCAGCTGCGGGTGGTCGAGGGGCCAGGGACCAGCAGCGGGTGGTCGAGGGGCCAGGGACCAGCTGCGGGTGGTCGAGGGGCCAGGGACCAGCAGCGGGTGGTCGAGGGGCCAGGGACCAGCTGCGGGTGGTCGAGGGGCCAGGGACCAGCTGCGGGTGGTCGAGGGGCCAGGGACCAGCAGCGGGTGGTCGAGAGACCAGGGACCAGATGCGGGCCGTCGACAGGCTAGGGACCAGATGCGGGCCGTCGAGGGGCCAGGGATCCGCAGCGGGTCGTCGAGAGGCCAGGGATTAACTGTGGGGGGGGGGGTGGTCGAGGGGCCAGGGACCAGCAGCGGGTGGTCGAGGGGCCAGGGACCAGCAGCGGGTTGTCGAGGGGCCAGGGACCAACAGCGGGTGGTCGAGGGGCCAGGGACCAGCAGCGGGTGGTCGAGGGGCCAGGGACCAGCAGCTGGTCGTCGAGGGGCCAGGGACCAGCAGCGGGTCGTCGAGGGGCCAGGGACCAGCAGCGGGTCGTCGAGGGGCCAGGGACGAGCAGCGGGTCGTCGAGGGGCCAGGGACCAGCAGCGGGTCGTCGAGGGCCCGGGGACCAGCTGCAGGCAGGGATTATGATGGCCCACATTACAAGCTCTCCACAGACATTTACGGCATCTTAAATACATAAACGCGCGCTCTAAGAAGAACATTAAGGAGTTATGAGTCATATCATGAATATCTTCAGGAGCACAATTCTCAAAAATGGTATAATTCTTCCATATTTTGTAATAATAATATTAGTCTTGTCAATTATTTTATTTTACGATATGTTGTTTTTGGTAATGCTGTCAGAATACTATTGTCATTCATATATTGTTTTGTGCAAATGTGTGTAAGAAATACTAAACAGATTTGTCCAGTCCAGACCTATTTAAAAGTCGGAAGTAGTACCTGTTTCAAGCTAGGAGTCTTTACACAATTCCCCTTTTTAAGAAAATGTTAATTACGAGAAGGAAATTCAAACTGAAGCAAACTGATTTATTCTGACACCCTAAATAAGCTATAGTTAAAAACAAAACAAAAAATCCTCTAGTAATATGCACTATTAATCACAGATCCTTTTAAAATGAAGAGAAATTTCATGCTATCCATAATTTGCCCGTACTAGCATAAACCAGGTTGTCGGAAAATCCGACACCATTTAATATATCATACAGATAATAGCTGTATTACCAACAAGTTACCCATAGAAAACGTAACTTGTAGTGGAATTACCGTCTATAGAAAACGGGATATCATCACCACATACTATTATAATTCACCAGCTATTCTGCTGGGAATTATTCTTAAATACATTAGTCTTTGGACTTTACCATCATAAAAACATCTTATATAAATTAACTTAATTATCAATATTAAAGTAGAGTAAATGTGACCCTTCTATCACGTTCTGAAATCTGGACAATGTAAGCCAGGCGTCAGAGTGGAGGAGGAGGGCAGCCATTGTTGTTATACGAGACCAGAGGCTCACACGGGAGCAAATTCGGCTCCTGTTAATTTTACTTGGACGTAGTGTTATGGATACCAAAGGTGTACCATCTGTCAACACGCTGTCAACAAATCAAGTTAAGTGTTCTTTCCGAAACCCATTATTTATCATTAGTGGCCATTAATGTCATTATATAGGGTGAGCCGGTTAGATCACATGGAAGCCTCAAACTAAAGGTAATTAAGCCAGGTCTTCATGTTCCATGTACTGTTTTCTCTGATATAGCTTGTCATATATAGGATTCTGGCTTCACAGCTAGCGCACTTTTGACAGGTCAAGTCGAGGATGCAAGATTTGTGCACCAGTTACTGGGTGATATGGAAGCTACCTCAAAGAGGATAATTAGGTGTCTACACCCTAGTTATACCTGGTGGACTAACCTGCTGTACTATAAGATAAGGAACCTCTTCAATGTATGTAGTTACTGTAGTTTGATTGGCTGCATACATATAAATATAAACCCCCCTAATGTGTAGAGGATCGATTTGTGAGATTGAGATTATTGCAGAAATACAGTCCACTTATCATTATACAAATTGCTATCGAAGTATATAAATTAACGTAAATATAAATTCATATAAATTAAATAAATATAAATCTCACAGGTCGGTTCCCACATTCTTTGGACCTTCGGAACCGGAATATTCGGTCCTATGAACCCACATTTGGTCATCTTAGTACCGGATGAACCAGTTAACCAGTGGATTCATTAAATATACTAGTGCAGTGTTATTTAAACAAAGCCAGCAGTCAAGACGGCAGCGTAGCCTCGAGGGAGCTCAGGAGCCTCCCTCAGCCCAGTTCAGCTTAGTCAGCGGTTTCATGCACACCCACAGAAATTTGGTGGTGTGTTATTTCGTGAAATGACAGCGCTAATAGAAGCCAGCCAAAGTAGTGACTGTGTCTTCGCGATATTGTTCACGGATTTCGTGGTGTTACATTTCGCGAGAGATTATCTACGAATTTTGTGGACTTTATTTCGCGAGGTCACTAATAATATTTAATACTTCTAGATAATATTAGAAGTTTCATAGAGGCTAATTAAGAGGCTATTATCAATAATTGTGTATATTATTTCTCCAAAATAGAGAATTATTTAATATATACTGCACTAGTGTTCACAGTATATTTACTAATTGCCAACCCACAACAGGGTAGGATATGACTAGTTGAACTATTATCGTTCATCCTAGTCCCATTATTACCATAGTCAGTTGTACTATATTGATTAACCTAGCACCATTAATGAATGGTCCAGACCCTATTTTGGGTGTAATTTTTATCAACTCGAATTGAGTTGTGTATATATAATAATTTACTTATGATCATTACACCTTTGAGTGATTAATTAGTGTCTCTACCATCCTAGGGTGATATAGAAGAGCTAACCTAAAGGTACTTCCATGACACTGGTTTATCACTCAAATCATTAGTGTGTATGATTGTATATATATAATGTGTATTAATTTTAAGTGCTAACCTCTAGTAGAGGTAGGATTATTGCCTAGTGAGTTCAGAATTTACCCTAGGCTACCATTAGTGTTTGTTCAGTATTATGAGCAGCCCAAATACAAGTCCCACAAGGCTTCACCAACGAGCCAGTATGGATAATGCAGGGAGAATGAAAAGAACCCTTGCAGGTCTTAAAGGCCACTTAACAAGACAGATCAAGAAATGTGAAGATTTGTCACAACAATCAACAGTTGATTATGCTGACCTGGAAAGCTATTATCAAGCAGCTGCAGGTAAATTTGAGCAAATCAAATGCCAAATGGCAACATATGTGGCTGAACTTGCCAACACTAATTTATCAGAAACAGAAATAGACGACATTATGGTTGATCTTGCGAATTATGAAGATCACACTCAGGCCACGTTACAGCCTTATGTCAAATTAATTGCCCAGAACAAGGCAACAGCAACAACAACAACAGTTGCATCTAATACGAGTCAAGCAGAAGCTCGACTCCCTCCAATTAATTTACCCACTTTCTCAGGAAAGGATGAGGAAGATTGGGACGAATTTTGGAACAAATTCGTTGTCCTTGTAGACTCAAAACAATCTTTACCAAAGAGTAGTAAATTCTCTTATTTGCAAGGCCAATTATCAGGTGAGGCTAAAACAGTAGTATCCCATCTGAGATTAACTAATGACGGCTATGATCTGGCAGTAAAACTCCTCAAGGATAATTATGCTGATCCAGAAGTAAGAACATCACATTTAGTTCATGAGCTGTTGCATTTACCCCCACCGGAGGCTTCAGCTGATTCACTCCAAGTCTTCAAGCTGGAGGTAGAATCATTGATCAATGCCCTCAGCCTGACAGCAGATACAAACGGGGCTGAGTGGGTCTTGAAAATAATTGTCCAGGAGAAAATACCTAGGGACATATTGAGACAAATGAGTGCTCATTACAATAAAAGTATCTTATCCATGAATGAAATATCTGAGGGTTTAAAGTCAGTAGTTCATCAATTACGAACACATGACAAATTAAAACCACCAAGTAAACCCTCAGAAACCAATAATAGTAAACCACAGAGTACCAAAGGTACTCCAAATCAATCTAGACAATATAATTCAACACCAAAGTGGAACAGTGGCAGTGTGGGCGTATATGCAGTTGGACCCTCCAAGCCTATAGTTACTGTGTCACCCAAGAACGTGACACCAAAGGGTACTGGAAGCTATGGAACATGTTTGTTCTGCAATGAGAAACATTCAATGTACCACTGCCCTAATTTTCCTGATAGTGACGCCCGTGTTGAGCGACTCAAAGATTTGCAACATTGCACGAGGTGCCTCAGGAAACATAACATCAACGACTGTGAGACCCAATTACACACCTGTAATAGGTGTAACAAAGGTCAGCACCATGCAGCATTATGCAGAGACACCAAAACAACGTCTCCAAACCCCAAGGTGGAAGATAGCATTCCCACCTCAGTACAGTACTGCAAGGTGCAACCAACAAAGAGTGTCCATTCGGCAAAGTCTAAAGGTAATACGACTTTGCCTACTGCCCAAATTACCATCCTGAATAAGAGGGCCAAGGTCCATACCCGTGGGTTGTTTGACCAAGGATCCCAAAGAACATACATCACTAAAAGGTTGGCAGATGAATTACAATTAAGGCCTGTAGCCCAGATGTCATTCAACATCTCAGGGTTTGTAACAGATGCAGGACCTCAAGTCTACCAGGTGGTACAACCATCAGTACGCTTAGGCAGGTACGTCTGTCGAGTACAAGCCATTGTGGTGGACAAAATACCAGTAGACCTACAAGTTCAAGGTCTGCGAGCAACAGCCAAATTCCTGAGAAATAGAGGAATAAAATTGGCAGATAATATTAAGACTGATCACCTCACTGACTTCGGTCTCCTTGTAGGGACAGACTATTGTCATCGATTCATCGGTAGCCCTACTAAATATCAGGGCATAACCATGTTAAACTCTGCAGGAGGTAAATTACTCTCAGGCCCAGTATCAAGCCTGAGGAGACCTATGCCTGCAGATAAACAATACCAGTAGAAACCTAAATTTGTCAGCTGATTATATTTCTCCAGTAGCATTATACTAAGGAGATTACAGCTGACTATACCAACAGAGCTTGATGTTAGTATCATCATTTGAAGCTGAAGATGAGTTCATGAGGCCTCAGTGGCAAATCAGTGAACAGTAGCCTAAAACAGCTTCAAGTCACTGCGACCAATGTCACTGAACCCACTGCAGTCTCAGAACCATACTTTACTTTAATGATGAGCTATTCAATCCTCTGAATCAATTAATTAAATTAAACCCCAGTAAATCTGATGACTGATTTGATACATTTATTATTTAATCAAGATGTATTCCATGGGCCTCAGTGTTTATATATCAGTGACCAGTTACCTGAAGAAACTTCAAGTTATATCTAATGTCACTGATCTCACTGCAGTCCCTGAATCATACTTGACTGTAGTACTTGATCACATCCAGTCTTCTGGGTTAAATAATATGTAATAAGGCTTGAATATTAGCCTTTCAAGAGTTGACAGGGAAATGAAATCGCATTAGACTTCTAACCCCTACAACTCTAGTACGGGA